CTAGAAGTACTTCTGCTGCCGCTTCAGCGGCACTAAAAGTACTTCTACTGCCGCTGCGGTTGCCTAGCAGCATAGAATTTAAATTTTTACCACCTCGACAGATGTTATCCCGCTGGATTTGCCTAGCAGCATAGAAATTAAATTTCTAACATCTTGACAGGTGTTGACAAAGTGATGTTTTTTTGAAACCGCTAAACCAAATGTTTTCAGAATTAAATTAAGAATGAAGAGAGCTTTAAAACGATATATCACTCCACACCGCCTTCTATTGAAAAAAATGTTTCAAAACTGCGCCCAGCTATCATTTGTTTTCAAAAAATGGAGAATTTACTCACATATCTTTCCAAATTTCGTTGCAATATACCGAGCCGTTCAAAACATAGAGGGGGGCGACGGACCTTATGTCCTCACTGTATAATTGCATGTGACCTTCGTGTAAATTCGATCGCACCTAATCTGGAACACAGTAATTAAACTGACTTGCTGTGGGCAATACGCTGCACTCAGCGTTGTTCTCATAATGGTAGTAAAGCTCCAAGAACATGGAATGCCTAATGCCTTTAACTCATTAATTAGTTCAAGCCAAACTTGCACTAACGTATCACTATGTGCCCCTCTTTTGCGATTACCACCAATCAATTACGATGCTTTGTTTACAGTTCTAATGAGAGCACAAGATATTAATAGATAAATAATGTAGTATGGTTTTGAAGCTTTGGTAGAAAGGGAAGATATCAGGGAACAGTTCATATTCCTACCAGGTGAACCTCACACTGTGTTTCGGTCTTTGGCAGCTCTTGGAAAATACATAGAAGGAAGTGGAATTGATCAAGCCTGGATAGAAACAGGGTTATATTCTTCAACTACTGTATCGGAAATTCTTATTGGGAAGAATATGTACAGAGCTTTTGATGTTCACATGGTCACATTGCTAGCCCTATATCAACTATATCTTGACGAGCTAGCAATAAAGAATCCTGATATTGGAAATTCTTTGAAGGAAATAGCCACATCGTTAGGAGAGGCTTACGATAATGATATCAGTCGCAGTCCTCAAGGGTCAAGTTTACTCGGAGCAGTCAGCGATACAGTTCAAAGAGAAAGCATTAAAGAGATTCAGAACAGAATTTCCGAATATGAAGGCAGTCCTAACAAGATGCAGAAATTTGTGATGAGTTACTTCAAACAGTTTCAAACCATTCTGCTCTTTGTTCGCGCGACCAGACAAAACGATTTTTGCCTACCTTTAGCAGCAACACAATCCCTCATGAAGTACTTCTTTGCACGTGATCATCAAAACCTTAGATCAAAACTATGCTCGGTTGCTTTCTTTGTACTTGGCTTCAATGCAACATACGGAACAACATCATTCCGAAACTTGGGAAGAGTTCATGAACGGAAAGTTTGGAATCTCCTGTGGACTTTTCACAACATGTTCCCCTGATCATGGAATTGAGCATGAAAACCGATCAAGCTCCACACAACACTTCTTAAAGCAGCAAAAATGAAAAATGTACTTACTTCACATGAAAATCCTTCCGATGAAAACGAAACAGAACTACATATACCTTGCTTACGAACCAAGTGATGGCCGAAAATGAAGCAAATGATATCCTCAATCCTGACACTATAGGACAACAGTGTTTTGAAACGTTTGTCCATAAGCGCTTAAATGAAGGTAAGATATGCATGTGGGATCGTATGACTAAAGTAAAGCTCAATTTATAAACTCGCCGTCGGGATTCCGTTTGCGTCGGCCTCGCCTTTACCGTAGTCTCTATGCTGACGGTGAACTGTGAGGCCGACGGCGAATATAAACGATCTTATGAGATTCCTAATATTCAATTGGTAACGGCATGCTCGACGCGAACGGAATCTCGACGGCAAGTTTATAAATTAGGTTTAAAACTGAAGACTTTCAAGTAATCAAATGTGTCGAAGGCGGTATCTGTTTGTGATGAGGTTATCAAGGTCAAGGAAGAAAGAAGGTTTATTATAGCAGCTAGAAGCCGTCCTGAACTTGATCTGAAGGAATGTATTGGAGGCTACGAATTCGGCATAGTTCCACGATCCTTGTTCGCATCTGATGGATCATTACTCCTACCTTACGATAAGTCAAGTGCTTCCATCAACTGGAAGTAATTGGTTCTGAAGATACTGGTGAGACGTGTCACGGTAATATCCATAGTTCGAATGCGTCACGCAGCGATTCTGGAACTGTGATACTGATAATTTGATGGAATAGCGATGGAACATACCATTAAGAAAACATCCACGATATTAACTTGTAATGACTTTGCAGTTGCTTTCATCTGTAAACTTATAGAAACAGTGAAGCCAGATGATGAAGATAGGTTGGTGTTCGATAGGTACCTAGAATATTCAATGAAGGGTAAGATGAGAAGAAAACGAACTAGTGGAAATACAACTTACTAGTGATAGTGTGATAATGTGAATTAAAGACAATACTTTAATTCGTAACATTTCTTTGAGCAGTTTTCTAGCGCACAATAGGACAAATGCAGAACTGACAGAATACCGAGCTGGAAAGACGCTGCATGAGGTTGTATCTAGTAACAGCTTAAAGAAATTTATGATCACGGCAGGCACGACTACCAGACGTAATGTACGCATTCCTAAAGTACCCCAAACTCACAGCCAGGAAGAAGCAGATACCATCATGATTCTTCATGCAGGTACAATTCACAAGGATGTTGAGGTTGTTCTACTCCCCAGATACAGACGTGTTACTCCTGTTGATTCAGCTGCACAAAAATCTGCCTCCCAACATCTCACTGTTCACTGGAGAAGGCAAAACCTCGCGGAAAATACATATAAAACCAATAATTGAATAGCTGGGGAAGAATCATGCAGGGGCTATGAGGACAAAACGCAAAAACACGTCGATTAATATTTTTGCTCAAGATTTTTTCACATAATTTTTTTTTTTACAGGGTGTTCCAAGAATAGCTGTACGGTGATCAACTTTATTGTTTTAAATCGTAGCCCCTGTATATTATGACATTTCTTGATTCTGCGGAAAATTCTAGACATATTTCATTCACAATGTCATATACCTATCTTTAACTGTTTCGGAAATATTGACAGTTGAAAATTGACTTTTTTGCAACTTTGATAGGCTGTAAAACCTAATCGGTTAATTTTACAGCAAAACCAATTTCACATTCTCGTCTGTAGCTTTTCATAAGCTATCATTTGACAACAACTTTGAATTTAATCGGAGATTAAATTTAACTAGAATTTTTGATCATGGATTAAATTCAAAGTAGGTGTCAGATGATAGTTTATGAAAAAATAAGACAAGAATGTATGATCGGTTTTGCTGTAAAATTAACCGTTTAGGTTTTATACAGCTTGTCAAAGTTGCGAAAAAGTCAATTTTCAACTGTCAATATTTCCGAAACAGTTGAAGATAGGTATATGACATTGTTAATGAAATATGTCTAGAATGTTCCGCAGAATTTAGAAATGTCATAATATACAGGGTCTATAATTTAAAAAAATAAAGTTGATAACCGTACAGCTGTTCTTGGAACACCCTGTATAAATAAATAAATAAATAAATCTTAAGTAAAAAATCTTAATCGACGTGTTTTTGCGTTTTCTCCATATATTTCATCCGAAGGCTCTAGCGAATTAGTTCCAGTTAAAGTCCTCCCTGTATATAAAAATCAATGTTTGTTTGTTTGTGCCTTATGCGCTCCTACACCACTTATCCGATTACGATGAAACTTTCGTAGGTTGTTATGGCCATCCCAAGGAAGGTTTGTGGCAAGGTTACGCATCTCGGAAAAAGAAATTAATTTTGAATTAATTATTAATTTAATTATAAACAAACTCATTCACATTACATAACAACATAACCCAACTTTTTTTTGACAACATGAAACAACGTTGCCACATTTCATTTATTTAGGCTTGGGCATTCAACCGACGTAACTTTATTATTTTTTGAATTCGAGAACGGCTGGACCGATCTTGAATTTAATAACACGTATCTCTATATAGGCCGAATCCGATTGACCTAGATTAGATCGATTTGGGTTCAATTTAACTGAACTTCTTCTGATCTAGATCATTTTTTTGTTGATGTGGGTGCACTGATCCAACCTCAATCGAACACAGTGTGGTTCACTTAAATTGAACCAGATCGATCTAATCCGGTCAATCGAATTCGGCTATAGAGGGGAGTGATATAGGTAGGCTATTTTTTATCCCGAAAAAAAACGTTCAGTTGCGCGCAACTCTGACACACTGGAACGTTTATAAACAGCCCGGGGCGCTCTAGAGCAGCTCTGGAGTGCTTAAAATGCGTCACTGAACTCACTGGCAAGCGACTCTGGTATAGGATTAAAAAAAAATAATTTAGAAAATCAACAAAAAAATTTGACAAAAAGTGTATTATTTCAAAATGTATTTTCACGGTGGTAACGTAGCGGGTCATTAGCTAGTTATTAAAATAAATGAAAGTTGTGAGACTGATATCTTAATTTAATACTACATTTTCTTCTTACTTTTTTCGACGCCATCTTGGATTTGGGTTGCATGTAAGCATGAAAAAAACAACAAGTAATTTTTTAATCCTTAGGTACTTATTAACAAGTTTAAAAAGTTATTTCAGTTTTAACAGGCCAGTCGAGCGAAGTGTTGTTTATGATTATTAAAGTTGTTCACTATAATGTATAATCTATCATATTATGGCTTTCCTTAGAGTAAGTGATTCCCCTTCTGTTTTAATCGGTTCCTTGGGAAACATTACTTGCTTACTTTTTCGAAAGTATCTTTGATAAATTTGCCACTACCGAAATTACATCTCTTGATCAGAAAATTAAAGAAAAGGAGCTTCAAAAACTGAAAATGCAAACTTCTCCTTCTAAAGAGACAAATAAAAAAGAAAAAGAACTATTGACAGGAGCTTTAAGTTGCTCATCCTCCATTTTAGACTAGCTTCACTAATTTGCTACTTTTTTTTAATGCAGATTATCAACAAATCCCTATGCGATTGCCGTGAAGAAGTGGAAATCTTGCTCAGATATGGCCAACATCCTGGAATAGTCAACTTGAAAACCGTGTACGAAGAAGCCACTAAAATCTACCTGGTTTTGCAACTGCTTAAAGGCGGAGATTTGCTAGAATACATGACAAAAAAGGTAATTATTTTCATAAAACAAATTGGTATCAAATTAGTTTATTTGCAGAAGAGACTTGATGAAAGAGAATCGGCTGTAATATTAAAAACATTAGCAACGACAGTGGCGTACCTGCACGAAAACGGAGTTGTTCACAGAGATTTGAAGCCTGCCAATATTTTATTTATCAATGAAGATCATGCTCCCGATAGTGTTAAAATCTGTGATATGGGCTTTGCCAAACAGGTTAGATAATTTAATTATTGCCAAATTATTCAATGCAATAATTAATTTCCAACTTTCAGCTTAGAGCTGATAATGGTTTACTGATGACACCTTGTTATACTGCACATTTTGTAGCTCCAGAAGTATTAAAGCGTCAAGGTATATTTTTTGCCTATCAAATTTAAAAATCATTTAACTGGATATTTTCAGGATATGACGCTGCTTGTGATATTTGGTCCCTAGGAGTGATTTTATATATTATGTTATGCGGACAATGTCCTTTTAGTACAACCCCTGATGATAGTCCTCAAAAGATTCTACAGAGGATAAGTTCAGGGAAATTAGATTTACATCAAGTAAGCACTTTTTTTTTTAAGTTAAATTGTTAAATGTTCACTTTTCAATATATTTTTAGAATCCTGGTTGGAAAAATGTATCAAACGAAGCAAAAATGTTAGTAACTGATATGTTACATATTGCGCCCCATAGACGGCCTACAGCAGCTACTTTAGTTAAGAATCCTTGGCTAAATGCTCAAGTAGCCGAATATTATGCTCAACTGGTAAGAATTGATTACAAAATTCAGATTTTATAGATTTGATAAATAAAATTGAATCGATCAATACTGCAGATCTTTCCCAGATGAAGTATCTCGCTATATTTTTTATAGTAGTACCTTTGCGCTCTTATAAATTGTTGTTTAATTTTTTCAGAGATCAGGACAACCTGAACCTGTAAATTTGAAAGCGCACACGCCAGTTGACGAACTAGTACCAGCACCAACAGTTGGAGAAGCTCATTTAAAGGAAACTGTGGCTGCCACATTCAGGTATGTTATTTTGGGGGTTTCTTGTTCGAATAATTTTGTCCGATATAGAAATTTTTATCAAAATGGATTTACCCATATAATTAACCAAAAAGATTATCCAATGTTAATAAGGCTAGCACTTTGATTACTTCTAAGTTAGAGCCTATCAGATCAATTTTTTTTTCTTTTCAGGGCAATAGCAACTTCACCTCAAATAGCCCACCTGGGTCCTGTAGCTATGTCAGAACTAGCTAGGCGAAGATTCAGAGATAAGTCGCAGCGAGCGCAACAATCATCAACCTAACTCTAGTTTTAGTCAATTACCAGAAATCCAACCTCAGAGTGCAAATTGAATTGATAAAAATTTGTTGATGGGATATCGTTGAATTGTGTCGTTTGGATATTGTTTGAATGGATCCATGCTTTTTTTAATTTTTGCTTCAAGTTGTTTTATTTTTGTTTAAACATTTGCAGCAGTAAGAGTGATTCCGTGGGATTTTTTCGGTTGTTTATATTTGTGATTTATTAATGTTATAAGTTTTGAAATTCCAAAAGTACAATATATTTTTTTTTTAGTTTAATTTCTAAATTTTGCTATGAATTATTGTTTCGTTATTTTAAAGCCTATTAAAATTGAGAAGAGCTTGTTAATTGGTCAATTTATCTATGTGTTGGATGTTGTTGAAAATTAAAACCATATTTGAATAGATTGTTTTAGATATTGCGAGAGTTGATATACTTTGAGCTTAAAAAAATGTTAATTCCATATCGAAACAATCAATATTATTAATTAGATTGTCACAAAATTTTATACAGAGTTATTATATACCTTGACCGCTAAACATTTCAATTTTGCTCTGTGTAAAATACTGGTACAGTGAAAAACTGAAATATTTCTATTTTAATCAAGCCATGGTTGTTATATTCGTGATATTGCTGTAACCATATTCTTCCATATTAAAAAAACTGTATTGTTTCTAACATGAAATACATCACCAGTGTCAAGTGGACGGGATTTTGTGCCAAAAATACTTCCAATTGAAAATTGAATTTCAATTTACTGACTGCCAAAATATGGTGGAGGAATTTCATATTTGATGCAAGTAAGAAACAATATATTTTTCTATCTTTTGATGAATCACCAGTGCCAGAAAACTAACCATAAACCTATTTATCTGTAATTATGTACTTATATCTGTTGTTAATGTGTATCATACATAATATTGTTCAATGATTGTCGTTATACAGGGTGGTCCATTTAACTTGAGACAGTCTAATATCTCGAAAACGGTGCGTTTTTGAAAAAAAAAGTTCAAATAAAAGTTACATGGTATCATGTGGGAAACAAAATGGCGGTACTGATTTTTGACTTTGACAACGTTTTCAAGGTTATTTCAAGGTCAACTCTTTTTTTTCAATGGAAATATATTTTTTTATTACAGAATCTTATTCTACAGAAAAAAACAAGTAACTTTTACTTGAAGCATTTTTTGATCCGGTTTCAATTTAAGCTGATAAAAAAGAACGAATAATTTTTTTGTTTTCTCCTCACAAAATCGAACAGTAGAGAAAGGTTACCAAAAATACCTCAAAAACTATAATAATTGATCAAAATGTCGATCGCCAACTTCAACACACTTGTCAATTCACTTTAAAAATCAAACACACAGTTCATCAAGAGGTTCCCACAACACCGGATAATATGATGGAACACATAAGAAATGCTTAGAGCTGTCAGTAAAGAAACTGTAATTTGGTGCCATGAAAGCTTTTTACAGCGAATTAACAAGTGTGTTGAAGTTGGCTGTCGTCAATTTGATCAATTGTTATATTTTTTGATTTATTTTTGGTAACCTTTCTCTACTTTTCGATTTTGTGAGGAGGAAAAAAAAATTATTCGTTCTTTTTTATCAGGTTAAATTGAAACCGGATCGAAAAATGCTTCAAGTAAAAGTTACTTGTTTTTTTCTGTAGAATAAGATTCTGTAATAAAAATATATATTTCCATTGAAAAAAAAAGAGTTGACCTTGAAATAACCTTGAAAACGTTGTCAAAGTCAAAAATCAGTACCGCCATTTTGTTTCCCACATGATACCATGTAACTTTTATTTGAACTTTTTTTTTCAAAAACGCACCGTTTTCGAGATATTAGACTGTCTCAAGTTAAATGGACCACCCTGTATATTTGGTACCTAGTCATTGCCACATATAAAATGTTAAAAACTGTATAAATTATAGTCTTATGCTGTACAGAATGAACACAACCATTCCTCTAAACTGTTATTCTTATGGTAATAGAGATTCACAAATATTAATTATTGTAACTAAAAATAAATCATTCTGTATGGCTAACCAAAACCAGTCAATTTCCTCTATTGAAAAACGAAGAACTAGATTAAGATTATGTAACTATATATTCGCCATATGTAAGTGTTCTAAGGTCCTTCACAGACTTACAGCCATTATTTATAATATCTGCAATAGAAAGTTATTCTAGCACAAAAAGAGTCGTCAACCTTTGTTCAAAGATAGAAAAATCATTGATGTATTTTTTTTATTAGAATCTTCTTTTTTGCTCAAGATTTAAACATTGATTATTCGATGTATTTGAATTTCCTTCATATCTGCAATTCAACAACTTTGCTCTTTCTTTAATTTCTTGTAATACCTCCTGTATCAAATCCGTTGTCTATTTTATTTTGGATTATTTTTTTCCTGGTAAAGTTGAAGGCAATGCCGTTTTTAGTTCTTCCGTTTTATCTGGGGTAACTCCATTGTCTTTGTTGTTTTTTCTTACTAGAATTACTTGATACTCTTTTTCTTAAGGCGGCTACTCACTACATGATACTTTATTTATTTACGTATAAAAAATTACATAAATTTGAAGTGGTGTGGTACCAAGTTTAAATCTAAAACAATTCTCTTGGCCCGCGTCTTGAATTTATCCTGAGATAAACTAAAAAAGTCAAGACCCTCATAGAACCTTTTTACAATGGTTGATATTCTATCAACAGGACTGAATAGTAAGTACCAAGTCCATGTACGACAGTAAGGAATGTACAGTAAAGATTTACTTCGTGTCCGATAACTTTGAGTGTGTAGATGAAAGCATCCAATACATTTGTGGCTTTTTATGTAGTAGTTGAGGATATTAAAAGCAAAACAAACATCAAAGTATTCCCTTCTGCGAACAAGAGTAGTTAAGTCTAAGTAAGTCATAGTCTGGTCAACGCTGAGGATCACACCACTCAGAGACAGTTTGTACCTGATAAATTTGTGTTGAACACTCTCAAGCCTATGTGGATCTGATAATAAGCTGACCAAACTGTGCAAGAAAATTCAAGAACGGATCTGACCAGTAATGTGTAAAGAATTTTGATGGGGCGTATACTTGTAAAGTCCCTTGTAGCTCTCTTGATAAAACCCAACATTCCATTAGCCCTGCCAATTACCACTTCAAAATGCTGGGTGAACATTAACCTAGTATCTAGATAGACACCCAGATCTTTGATAACAGAAAGTCCAGACAAGCGAACATCACCTAAGCAATACTGAAAGGGAACCTTACAGGTGAGTCTACTGAATCTTATACAACAACATTTATCAATGTTGAGGAACATGTCATTAAGCCGACACCAATCATAAACAATGTTAGGATCGTTTTGCAGAATAAGTATGTCTTGAGCTGACTTCACCTGACAATAAAACTTCAAGTCGAGCGGAGAGTAAAAAATTCGAGGGAAGCAAGGATCCTAAATCATTGATAAATACGGTGAATAGAAGGGGGCCCAAGTGAGAGCCTTGGGGAACCCCAGAGGCCCAGAGGATGCATGGAAAAGAGAAGAAAGATAGCCATCGATCTTGTTGTATTCTGTAGTGAGGTAAGATTTCGTCCCATGAAAGTAAGGGTCCAGAAACGCCATAACTTGAGAGAAGGATGTTATGGTTTACCTTATCAAAGGCTTTACTGAAGTTAGTATGTGTTACATGAGTTTCTGCATTGTTATCAAATGATGAATTTATAAAATTTGTAATGAGAAGAGAAACAGGTTCGTATCAACAGATCTACCGGCTGTAAACCCATGCTGTGACTGATCACAATGTGATGAAATATTTTTGAAATAATATTTTCAACGCACTGCTCAAATAATTTAGGAATTGCAGACAGGATGCTGATAGGTCTGTAGTTTGTTACATCATTCTTGCTGCCTGACTTGTGAATAGAACAAACATAGTAAGAGAGCTTCCAAATTTCTGGAAAAAATTCCAGAGTTTATGCATTTGTTAAAAATAATAAATAGAGGGAGATACAAAGTGTTAGAACAAGATTTTAGTACCTTTTTAGGAATACCATCAGGTCCTGCAGACTTGTTGATGTCCACTTGCTTTAAAGCCCTCTCAATATCGGTTGGGTCTATGACAATGCTTGAAACATTCTTGAATCGATCAGAGAAAGTTCTGGGGTTGGAATTTCGCTAGAAAAATTTCCTTAGGAATAGTAACCTGATTGGATTTGGAATGAACAAAGTTCCAGAAGACTTTCACATTAGTGCCTATGGCCCTTTCGCCCCTTTCAGTATCTCTTGAGGTTTTTACAATCCCTCCGAAATGCGTTAAATGCAAAAATATCCACTTCACTATTAGACTGCTTGTATTGTTTGTGAGCAATTTTATTTTGAAACCAGATATGAAATTATCGCTGTAACAATGTCTTTTTGTGGGAACAAACATATTAAAGCAGTCGAACGGTACCGAGTAAAAGCGGCGGCCTCGAACTGCGGACCGATTACCTGATTTTAATAATCCCGTACTCGAATTGCGGACTAAACCAAGAAGACCAATCTTTTAAAAACCATGAATTGCGGACCAGGCTCAAGTTTATACAACTAGGGTAAGGGTAAGGCGTAAAAATTACGAAATAATAAATGTAAGCTACTTTTCTTAGGCGCACAAATATTTATAATAGGACTCGATTTCATTTAAACAAATTATATTAGTTACCAAAATAGTTATTTTCCTAACAAGTGCGCAAAGTGTTACTTTTCCGCACGCAAACACAGTTACACGAACGACGCGAAGCGGAGTTCGGATAAGTGTTACGTGCGGAAAAGACACTTTGCGCACGTGTTAGGAACTAAATTTTTCCTACGAGCTTCATATCAGGTAGGTAACAACCAAAATTTAGAAAAAAAAAACAATAATTTGTTCAATTATTTTTAATTAACTTGAAGCGAACCTATGCAGTTATCAAAAAATTACATAAGAAGAAAAAAAAAATAACAGAAAATCATCGTCAGAGCCCTTTATCTTAAAACGTTCAAATTTGATGAGAAAGTTTGTAAATTCTTGCATATCAATAGAGAACAAATCTGACAATGCGTCAAAGTTAATTAAATTTGGTGTTTGTATAGATGTTGGCTGATATAGAAACAGAGGAAAAATTTGTCATCATGTGTCAACGTCGACAGGTGCACTTATTGTTGCTTGACAATTATTTTTACTTTTCGGCACTCAGTGCGGATAAGGCCTGTATCCGCACTGAGTGCGGAAAAGTGCAACTTTGAGAACCGAAATGCGTGCGGAAAAGTACTACTTTGCGCACGCTCGTAGGAAATAGTTATTTTCCTAACAAGTGCGCAAAGTGTTACTTTTCCGCACGCAAACACAGTTATACGAACGACGCGAAGCGGAGTTCGGATACGTGTTTGCGTGCGGAAAAGACACTTTGCGCACGTGTTAGGAACAAAATTTTTCCTACGAGCTTCATATCAGGTAGGTAATAACAAAAATTTAAAAAAAAAAAACGATAATTTGTTTAATTATTTTTAATTAACTTGAAGGGAACCTATGCATTTATCAAAAAATTACATAACAGAAACAAATAACAGAAAATCCTCGTCAGAGCTGTTCATCTTAAAGCGTTTAAATTTGATGAGAAAGTTTGTAGATTTTTGCATATAAATAGAAAACAAATCTGATGTGTCAAAGTTAATTTATAATTGGTGTTTGTATAGATGTTGGCTGATATAGAAATAGAGGAAAAATTTGTCATCATGTGTCAAAGTCGACAGGTGCACTTATTGTTGCTTGACAATTATAATTACTTTTCGGCACTCAGTGCGGATAAGGCCTGTATCCGCACTGAGTGCGGAAAAGTGTAACTTTGAGCCCGGAAATGCGTGCGGAAAAGTACTACTTTGCGCACGCTCGTAGGAAATAGTTATTTTCCTAACAAGTGCGCAAAGTGTTACTTTTCCGCACGCAAACACAGTTATACGAACGACGCGAAGCGGAGTTCGGATACGTGTTTGCGTGCGGAAAAGACACTTTGCGCACGTGTTAGGAACTAAATTTTTCCTACGAGCTTCATATCAGGTAGGTAATAACAAAATTTTTTAAAAAAAAAAACGATAATTTGTTTAATTATTTTTAATTAACTTGAAGGGAACCTATGCATTTATCAAAAAATTACATAACAAAAAAAAAGAACAGAAAATCCTCGTCAGAGCTGTTCATCTTAAAGCGTTTAAATTTGATGAGAAAGTTTGTAGATTTTTGCATATGAATAGAGAACAAATCTGATGTGTCAAAGTTAATTTATAATTGGTGTTTGTATAGATGTTGGCTGATATAGAAATAGAGGAAAAATTTGTCATCATGTGTCAAAGTCGACAGGTGCACTTATTGTTGCTTGACAATTATAATTACTTTTCGGCACTCAGTGCGGATAAGGCCTGTATCCGCACTGAGTGCGGAAAAGTGTAACTTTGAGCCCGGAAATGCGTGCGGAAAAGTACTACTTTGCGCACGCTCGTAGGAAAATATATTTTCCTACGAGCGTGCGCAAAGTAGTACTTTTCCGCACGCATTTCAGTACTCAAAGTTACACTTTTCCGCACTCAGTGCGGATACAGGCCTTATCCGCACTGAGTGCCGAAAAGTAAAAATAATTGTCAAGCAACAATAAGTGTACCTGTCGACTTTGACACATGATGACAAGTTGTTGATGACTCTGTTTCTTTATCAGCCTACATCTATACGAACACCGAATATAATTAACTTTGACACATTGTCAGATTTGTTCTCTATTTATATGCAAGAATCTACAAACTTTCTCATCAAATTTAAACGCTTTAAGATGAACAGCTCTGACGAGGATTTTTTATTATTATTTTTTTTGTTACGTAATTTTTTGATAAATGCGTAGGTTCGCTCCAAGTTAATTAAAAATAATTGAACAAATTATCGTTTTTTTTTTTTTAATTTTTGTTGTTACCTACTTGATATGAAGCTCGTAGGAAAAATTTTGTTCCTAACACGTGCGCAAAGTGTCTTTTCCGCACGCAAACACTTATCCGAACTCCGCTTCGCGTCGTTCGTATAACTGTGTTTGCGTGCGGAAAAGTAACACTTTGCGCACTTGTTAGGAAAATAACTATTTAACCATTTTCCTATTGCACTACTGTCATCTTTATTTTATTCTTTTGTCGAACCAATGCTTTCTAGTTTTCTAAACCAGTCTGTCCCTAGTGAAACCGGCATCCAATTATGTTTGAGTCATTCCATGTTGCAGGTACTGCGCTATGTATAGCTTGTTCAAACTCTGCTGTCACTATTTTAGGCTTAAGTTGTAAATTAATTGTATTACATCTTTCACAGAGAAGCTCGAACAAAAATGTATAGGTGCATTCTTTTTTGCCTGGAAGCAAACAAAATGCTATAGGAATGTAATAGCCATTACGCTCTATATGAATTGTGAATAATTGCAGAAAATATTTGACACAGTAGGAAAACATGCTATCCAAATATATTTTATCTGTGTTACATAATGCAGTCATGTTACTTTCTGTAGAAAACACAACAATTTTCTTCTCTTAATCGTTTACAAATAAAAAATTCTCACTTTCCGTACTTCGTTCGTCGGTTTTTTCCAAAATTGCTATCGTTTCACTTATGCCCGTGTGCACCACTCGCCCCTACATCTACAACTTGTCTAGGCGCCACTTGAGCTGAGGGTAACCCTTGAGGTTTAGTTGGTTTGCAAAAGCTCGGAATATGTTCGGCTTTGAGAAGAGGAGGAAATTAATGGCAACAATGCAATAAGTTGGTTTATTTTGTGTTATTTGTGTGGCAATAATGATTATTATTGATTATTTTCTGTCAGGAGTGTCAGCTGTTGAAAAATATTTGTTTTTTTTTCTAAAATAAATTTTGCTTTTTCTGTTGTGACGATTGTGTTGGTCGGAAATGAACGAAACTGCGAAAAAAAAAGTGAATTATTCGGTAAGCGAGAAAAGCTTATTGCTTAGTATTGCCCAACGTTTTAAAAACGTTGTCGAAAACAAGAAAACTGACGCAGTTACCTGGAGGGAAAAAGACTCTGCATGGGAGAAAATAGCGGAGATTTTCAGCTCAAAATCCACAGGAGTATTACGGACGAGAGATTCCTTGAGAAAGCTTTACGAAAATTTAAAAAAAAATGTTAGGAAACAGGTGGTTGACGAAAAAAAACTACTTATTTGTACTGGAGGAGGGCCACCACCTGCTAAGAAACCAAAGGCTGAAAATGATTTAAAGGAACAAATATTATCTATTGTTAACAGTAAGACTGTTTATGGTCTACCAAGTATTGTCGATGGAGATGCTGTGAAGGAGAATAGAGATAAATCACCTCAGCCAGGCTGCAGCAAAGACTTCTACCAACTAGACACTGATCATGATTATTTCTCCTTCGATAATGAAAATGAAGTTATAGTTGTGGAAACATCCACTCCTAGAAAGGGAATATTAGTGGTAAGAAAATGCATTCACTTTCTTCACTTTGCGAGTTTTTATTAGTTAAGAAAACATTTTTTTAATTTTTGAAGTACCTATAATGTTTATTCAATATGAACATTTATATGGATTTTTCGTTTTATGTAATTATAGATCTCCAATGTTCATTTCTGAACTTTGTTGTTCGATCTGTTATGTAAACTATAACAGAAACTCGAGCAGCTGTAATTTTTAGTATTTTGTCATAGAATCCTACTTTCATGTTTTCCTTTCTATTCTTAAAACATACAAATTAATTTTACAAGACTCATAAATAAAAAGATATGGAAGGTTTTGTTTTTTTTATACTTTTGTTTTAACCATGTTTTTGATACAAAAAATTATAGGTTGCTCTAAGTGTTGCTCATATTTCAGCTGTTATACCTACCATCTTTAAAGATGAAACGATAAAATTTCAAATAATGATGATTACAATTTTCACATAGGTACTGCATTTTTTTTGAAAGGTGGGGATCTCGATGGGGATGGAGCTGCTCAATGATATTTTTTGTCCTTTGGTATATTTTCTTATTGAGAAAATTATAGTAGGTACTTCAAAAAGTTAAAATTCTGCTAAATTGGCACTTCAGAAAATTTTATTATTGATAAGATATGGGAAAACCGTAAGTATGATAGAGAATGACCTTCAAATTATTTTTACTTTACAGAATACTGATCAGAATACAGAACCACAAAACAATAAATACCAAAAACATGAATCCTGCCAGAAATTTGCTGCCACCACAAATGAAGACAGCATTATAATGGTAAAATCTGTTTTGAATTTTTGTAGCTTTATTTTATAGAAATGTGCTTTCTTTTTCTACCTTTCCAGGGTTGATGGGGAAATCACTTGGGGAAATCACTTCAATTTAAAAAAAATCAAATATTTCATATGCCTTTTTTAACTTAGGTCTAATAATGGGTTTTAGTTAAAAACTGAAATTTTGATACAAGCCATCACACCAACATAATTTTCTTTTGTGGTTTACTTATTTTTAAATGCCAAACAAAATTAGCTTGCTTTTTGAGTTGATATTTGGTTTCGTTTCTTTGCTCCTGTAACCAATAATTTTTTTCCTTCACAGGAAAAATCAAGCAAGGATATTAACATCTTTAAAACAAAAAAAGATGATGCTTTACATGTGGACTCGCATGTGGATGGATGTAGTGCATGGGGTTCCAGAAGAAAACCTGCAATGAAGGAAACTGGTGGGGCAGATTTAAAAAGAGAATACTCTTCCTTGGCTAAGGCAAAATTTGAATTATACTCGGAGGAATTGAAACTAGCTAAAAGTCGAATAAAAAGGGAAGAAGAACTCCACGAACTTAATAAAGAGAGCCTTAATTTAGAAACTGAGAAAAAACGGTTGGAGAAAAACCACTTCAAGCATTTGTTGTAGAATAAAAAAAGTCAATGTGATTAGTTAACATACCAAAGAAAATATTTAGATATGTATTGATTAATTACATTTAAGTACCTGAGTGTTAGGAATAGTCCAACAATATTTAAGTTGTGATTGTGTTGCAGAGCAAAATATTTATTTTTTATTTTCATTATCATATTATTTTGTTTCTTTTAAGACATGTTATAAACTGAAACACTGATTTTGTTTGAATTAAAATGTACCTTCTAAGGCATTGTGCAATATATCCTGTTAAAAAATTAAAAATTTTGATAAATATTACGTAAACTGTAATTAACAAACCAGCTTTTCCACTTATGAACTGAGCTAGTTATCAATCACATGTAAATAATTTGCACAGCTTTAAACCTTCATTTGATTGAACTAAAATAAAATTGTGCAAACCTCGTCAAATTATGAACTATTCCAAAATACTGCGAAAAAGGCTTGCTCTATAATATTATGCAGGGAGAATATAAAAAAAAACTAAGTTTGAAATGGAATTATTTTACTTCTAGATTGCACTAAAAACCAAACAGCAAAAATATATTATGCATAATTATATACATTTTCTATCTATCTAAATCTGCAAAATAATTTATTATTCCCTCTCTTATCCCAAGTGCTTGTAAGTCTGCAGCTTGGTCCACAGGTGGAATTCCAGGAACTAAATCTTCTTCCATCCTTCTCAAAAATCTTTCCAAGTCTTCTGGATCTGGTGGATCAGCCTCATTTTGTTCTCTGCATATATTGTGCAGAACTGCCAAAGCTACTATAATTATTAAAAGCGTCTCCAGTTTAAGACGACATCCATAGGCAAGTATAGGAAAACGCCTCTTTATTATTCCATTTACCCTTTCTATGATGTTCCGGGTTCTTATATGAGCCTCATTGTATAGCTGTTGCTCCCTAGTTTGTGGGTTGAGTAATGGAGTAAGCAAATATGGCCTTTGAAAATAACCACTATCTCCTGCAAAAAAAAAATAATTGTGTTATAATAAGTGTGAAAAATGATCGCTTTGCTTGTTCCACAAATGTTAATATGCATGCTTTTGAGCATGCTTTTAATGCATTTTTCGCATGTATTGTATATTATACAAGATTTTTTCCACAAGTGAGACTTTTCACACTAGTGTGCTACATGAAGTTAATTTTTCCACACTGAAATGGACTTTTCACACGCTCATAGAAAAAGTCTGTTTTTACCTTGAGCTTTAAGGTTCTTTCCAAAGGATATACCTATCTACTGTTTTACTTACCTAGCAAAAGACAATTTGGAAAATTATTCTGGTCAAAAAGTTGTTTAATTCGGCTGTTATTAAAAATTGTACTATCATGACTCGATCCAGGCCATCGTGCAACAATGTTAGTTATTTTGAGATTGGCATCACTAATGATTTGGGTATTTATTGAAAAATAACCCTTTCGGTTGCGGAAAATTTCAGCATCATTTCCACCTAAAAATGACAACGAAGTAATTGAAATATTAATTTCAGTTTCTTGTAGTTTATTTTCTGATTTAATGTTGAAAAGAGGAATATCAGATAAATGCATCGTTACTGGTAACCAAAATCTATTTAAAGAAAAAGTGCCTCCTCCTTCTGATAATATTTTGTAATGTAAGCATCACTTTTTGATATTCATTTTTAAGTTAAAAAAGAGCAGGAGTACCTACACAAGCGCCTTTCTCAGTTTAAATGAATAACCTAAATTAGTTGAAAATTAGAGGAGGAAGGGCATATTTTCATGGCATGAATGACAGATTTTTATGAAACCTAAATTGTTTCCAACATTCCAACTTTAAAAAAATCATATTACCTGAACAAAATAACAAATAATAATAATATTATGCCTACCAGGAGACTGTATTCTTATATGGGTACAATCTATGACTCCTATCACTCTGGGAAACCTGGCCTTCTGATAAAATAGGAGATTTTCTTTATCCCTTTCTTCTTGAGTAGCTGGCATTTTAATAAAATGATCTGCTCTTCTTGCAAGGGCCATTCCAACCCTTTTAATTATTCTTGAAACAGAAGAGTAGTGCATGCCCGAAAAATCACCAATTAATGTCAAATGGCTTCCAGTTGCACATACCCGTAAGAAAACCAGTAATTGGTTTATAGGTGCAACACTATTATTACTAAAACCAAAGTTTATGAATATATCACCATACATTTCTTTTTTTGTAATAATAAAAATAGGTATGTAGTATGTATGTACTTATATGAACTCACAAATCATATGGATGCTCAATATCACCTTCAATAAGATTGAGCACAAAAAGGCTTGTATCTTTCGACATTCTAAACCGTTTGCGAAAGGTATCTTCATCGAAACTATTGAAATAATCCATTCTTTCAAAAATTCTTCTTGGAATTCCATTTATCACAAATTCTAATTCTTCATCTTCTTCGTCGTCCCGAAGAAGTTCCATTTCAAGGCAGACAATTTAAATAGCCAATAATTGTATTTTAATACCTACTTTTATCTTGAATACTTCTGTTTTGACAAAATTACGAAATAAAACATAAACAAAATAAGCACACATAACCTCAAAGTGACGTTTAAGCCGAAGACATTCTGCGGCTTGTCTTAAACACAGGTAAACGCCACTTACGTTGATATTCGCCACCTTTGCAAACCAAACTATAAATTAAGCTCCGCTCACATATAAAGCCGAACCCGTGCACACGGGCATTAGGCTTTTCGGTAATCGTGGTTGGGTTTTGCGCTTATGGTAGTAGATATTATTTCGTATGTGATTGACATCTCTTGCTGTGATGGTTGACATATTCACTGCATTTTGTCTGAATGCCGAATGTAACACTATTCAAAATCACTTGTCGATTATATTTTTCAATATCCACCGTATGGTTGTGATTCAGTATACTCCTTGAAAGTACGTTCTCTTCGCGCCCCGTGAAAATTTTAGCAGTGCAGGTTTTGAAGGTCCAAACGTCCAAAACTTCTCACCGCTTTTTAATGTTTTCTTGGAAGAAAATTTTGCGTTTTCGAACACTAACAAAGGTTTTCCTCGTTCACTTAAACACTCTAATACCGACATATTTATTTGATACTGACGACAAGACATTCATTAAATATACAGGACCAATTTTGGAAATCAATTATGGTTTTTGGTCCGCAGTTCATGTACGCCCAGTAAAAGTGATTAACAGTTTCGTTTAGATCCTCAGTCATAAGCATCGAGAGTGTTCAATGGTCGAAGGTCATAAGGGACCGCCAATCAAAGGAAAGAAAATATTCATTAATTACTTCATAATTAGCATTTTTAAAGTCACGGGAATAGTTATTTCCCGCACTAGTGCGGGAAAAAACAAATTCGCGCACTAGTGCGGGAAAGTGACATTTTCGGAACTAAGATGCGTGCGGGAAAGTGATAAAAAATGCACGCTCGTAGAAAATAGTTATTTTCCTAACAAGTGCGCAAAGTGTTACTTTTCCGCTTCGCGTCGTTCGTATAACTGTGTTTGCGTGCGGAAAAGACACTTTGCGCACGTGTTAGGAACAAAATTTTTCCTACGAGCTTCATATCAGGTAGGTAATAACAAAAATTTAAAAAAAAAAACGATAATTTGTTTAATTATTTTTAATTAACTTGAAGGGAACCTATGCATTTATCAAAAAATTACATAACAAAAAAAAATAACAGAAAATCCTCGTCAGAGCTGTTCATCTTAAAGCGTTTAAATTTGATGAGAAAGTTTGTAGATTTTTGCATATAAATAGAGAACAAATCTGACAATGTGTCAAAGTTAATTTATAATTGGTGTTTGTATAGATGTTGGCTGATATAGAAATAGAGGAAAAATTTGTCATCATGTGTCAAAGTCGACAGGTGCACTTATTGTTGCTTGACAATTATAATTACTTTTCGGCACTCAGTGCGGATAAGGTCGGTATCCGTACTGAGTGCGGAAAAGTGTAACTTTGAGCCCGGAAATGCTTGCGGAAAAGTACTACTTTGCGCACGCTCGTAGGAAAAAATAATTAAGAGGCTTCAGAAATTTAGCTTCATCAACAGGTATGGAAAACTCCAGAGCTGGGTGATAACGATCACAGCCCACTAGACCGTCAGATATTACAATTGGAATAAGCTCAAACTTGGCAGAGCATAAATCCAGGATTGAACAATGATTTTTAGTTACCCCATTCTAATGAGATAGATCTAAGAGAGGCAGTACCATCACATAACAATATTTCCTTAGTTGACCTTACATTTCCAAGTAATAAATCAGAGAGATCCTCACTAGTGGACCATGTTGTTTGAGAAAGATTATAATCTCCAAGAACAAGCACATTGTCAAACATTTCACAGGCACTCGCAACTGATTTCAAGTGGTTTTCATAATACGAAACATTCATGGTAGGTGGAATGTAGACACAGCCAATACAGAAGAACAAGTTATCCAGCGTCACTGACACCCATGTTTCCTCCATCGATGCTTCACTAATTGACAGACGATGAGATTTAAAGCAATTATTTATTGCCAGAAGCACCCCACCTCCACAGCGATAAACCGTGTAACGTAAGACGTAAGTGAAGAAATTCAGCATCACAAATACTACAGTCCAGCCAGGTTTTCGTAAGGGCAATCACTGAGAAAGTGAGAAATGGTCGGCGCGAGCAGCACAGAAAGCATCTTTGAGGTTAATTTTTAGGCTTCTTATATTTTGGTACAGAATGGTAGCACAATCCCATGAGATTGGCCCCCTCTTTTTCCCCTGTGAAAATTTGCTGTGGAGAGTTTTGTCCCCATACGACGAGGATGAAACACTTTGACTGCAATGCCTACAGGCCAGAGGTTTGGATCTAGCAGGCCCTTCAAAAGTGATTCTTTAACCCCAATTTTAAATGAAACGACATCGTCATATATAAAAATCAAGAGAATAGAAGAAGAATAAAAACAACTAGATAAAATGTATACATATTTCACTAGTCAAGCAATGGTAATAGGCAAAGGTTAAGAGCCAGA